GAGGGGGGGGGGTAGCAATCCAGATGTCGAAATTTTAAAAAATTCAAAAACAAATTTCTTTTTTCTCTATTTAGAGCTCTACTTACCATTGTGAAATTGGCATTTTGACTATGCGGTTAATACTAGATTTTGTTTTAATTAGTAATTTATATATTTTTGTATTCACATTTATAGTTATAAAAAAGTTCTAAAAGTAAAAAACGTTTTTTACTATTGACATATACAAGGTTGCATGAGTTTTTGCGAGGCATGGCGGATGTCTGGTTGGAGGGGGGTCACTAGTTCGGACAATGCCGGACAAGAGGAGGGGGGGGGAGGGGGGTTCTGAAAATCCATCATTTGGCTGGACATCCTTTGTGAATGGCCCCTTGTTGTTTTGTGACCGCCATTTGGCCAAAGTTGCAATTTGGATGAGCAAATTCGTTCGTACACTGTGCACACGTGCCGTAATTTTGCATAATATAGCTCAACTGCATGAAGTTAGCTTAGTTAGCAGACTATGCGCGCGCATTAGTTTTAGATTCCAACGGCAGGCGTCTACATTTGTATGGAAGACATGTTACAAGATGACTATGGAAGGCATCTACATTTGTACGGAAGAAGTCTACATTTCTACGGAAAGCGTCAATATTTTTGCGGAAGTCGTCTGAATTTTCTATGGAAACGCCGCACATTGATAGAGAAACGTTCTGTTATTAAGAAAAACTATTTCAAGTACACAGAACGAATGTGATTTTTTGCGGATCAAGCGTGTCCCTAACGGGCGACCATACGCAAACACAATATACCTTTTCAAAAAGGCTGCCTTGTGACGTAGTTTCCGGATAAAGGAAAACCCCGCACAGCCATTTGGCTTCCATGATTGCCCAAATTATCAATAAATATAGATAAAGGCCTTCTTAACGGAGTAACTTTTATCGATCTTAAAAAAGCATTTGATACTATTGATCACACCATCCTTTTACGGAAGTTACGAATTTATGGCGTTTTTGTAAATAGTATCAAATTCTTCGAATCAAACCTAAGCAACTGCAGTTAAAGACGTTGTGTCAATGGTTCAATTGTGAGTTATCTGAAACTGCTATAATAACCTGTGGGGTACCACAAGGCAGTAACTTGGGACCTCTATCGTTCTTAATATACATAAATGATTTGTCTAATTGTCTCGACAAAGCATCTCCAAAAATGTTTGCTGACGACACTAATATTAGCATCGCAGCAAATTTCGTCACGGAGCTTGAGCAAATAATAAACTCTGAATTGAAAAATCTTCATCAATGGCTACTAGCTAATAGACTGAGTTTTAACGTAGCTAAAACGGAATTCATGATAATAGGATTTTGTCAAAGCCGGATTACTAGTACAAGATAACGAGCACATAAGGATAGAAATCGACGGAAAGACAATTAAGAGAGTCAACGAAACGAAATCCTTAGGCTTGCAAATCGATGAGCATCTTACATGGACACGACACTTCGAAAATATTTCCAAAAATATTGCATCAGCTATTGGAGCTATTAAACGGATACGCCAATTTATAGATACAAACGCTGCTCTGAAAATTTATGGAGCATTAATTCAACCGCACTTTGATTATCGTAGCTCAGTTTGGAATGGTTTGAATATCACGTTAAATGACAAATTGCAAAATAGGGCAGTGAGGGTCATCACTAAATCTCAATATGATGCTAGTTCCAGCGACCTTTTTAGTAAGCTGGGCTGGGATAATCTTTTAACACGTCGGAAAAAGCTTAATTACTATTGTTTAAAACAATTAACGATCTAACTCCGTTTTATCTCCACGAATTGTTCGAATCTCGCAGCACAGGATATAACTCAAGAAACTCTGAACACACCTTATTTGTACCAAAACCAAGAACGAACTACGGTAAGCGAAGTTTCAGTTATTGCGGGCAGTTTTATGGAACGAGTTACCACAAAATGTACGAGCAACATGCTCCCTAAGTCAATTGACAATCTGTTCTCTATATGAGATGGACTCCTGTACGGCAATCTTGTAAATCAGTATGTTAGTTAATTATCTTGTAAAATGTTATACTGCAAATTTCACCGTGTTAGAATAAAGTTTTTGATTGATTTTGATTGGTTGAATTATCGTATTTATCCGCAAAGTACGTCACAGGGCAGACTTTTAAAAAAGGTTCATTAACACAATTGCGCGGAGACAATTAAGTTGCGAGACAAATTGTGTGGTGTAACAATTCTTAAATGAAAAATTCTTGTTGTAAAAATAGGCATCTTAACTCTCTCAGTACCCTCTACGTGCAACAATTTGATAATTGTTTCTATCCCCGGTGAATGATGTTCTTCTTAATAAAAGATTACTGACAAATTAAGTGACAGCGTTATAAACTAATAACATACAAGTACAAACATGCTTCTCATGTCGTTCATTGGCAACTCTCTTCTCCATCGCTTTACGCGACTTATGGTATCTCTTCAATGCTTCTAAAAGTAAAACGTAAATATCACTGTTTTGCGGTTTGCTCCAGGATAGACATTCCCTATCAGTATCACTAAATATATCATTTTTTAGCCGGGTACGGACGAGCGCGTTTTCCAGCCTCGTACCCAGGCGCTATGTGTTGTTCTAGGCTTGCGCGGCCTTTGCGTGGGCCGCGTGGATTAATTTGATCGATTTCGTGGTGAGGCGCCTGGCAGAATCCGTTTCGATTTCTGGAGCGGATTGCGATTTCTGGAGCGGACTCAATAAACCGGATTTTTAGAGGTTTGAAATACCACTTTTCATTGAAAACTGTATGACATTGATGAATCTTTCAAAAGAATAACTGTTGAATGTAAATTTTTGCGAATATCGTGCTTATTTAAACTACACAAAGTCGGGTATATTAAATTACTATATAATTATATTATCAAACAGCCTAGTGTAAATTCGTTTTGGAGTGAATCTACGTAGCCTTCGTTGTTTCAGTCGCTTTATGGATTGAATATGTCACAGAAATTTCATTGCAATATGACGAAAGGCATCAGAATACAGATCTCAAGAGGCTCAAACTCTCAAAGAACGCGGCGCCTATAGGCGGCGGCAAACAGTTTTTGTAAACAGTCACAACAATAGATATTCGTGTCGTCCTGTAGAGTGTAGTACAGTCGTTTACGTTTATTCTACTGGATTTAAAACATGATGAGAATGAAATCTGCTGTGTTGGTGTAATGTACTCAGGTGAATAAGATGTTTGTGTGATGTTACTCTGAGTGTGTATCCACACCGGGCAGGCTTGAAAAATATGCCTGGCGACGGCGGGATTCGAACCTACGACCTTTGGAATACTAGCCCAATGCTCTTCCAACTGAGCTACGCGGTCAGGTCGGTCAGGTCCAAAGGTCATATGTTCGAATCCCGCCGTGGCCAGGCATATTTTTCAAGCCTGCCCGGTGTGGATACACACTCAGAGTAACATCACACAAACAACTTATTCACCTGAGTACATTACACCAACACAGCAGATTTCATGATTATTAGATTATACTGACATCGAAGGAACTAGACTCAGTTCCGAAATATCGCATACTCGAACCGATCTGACCGCGTAGCTCAGTTGGAAGAGCATTGGGCTAGTATTCCAAAGGTCGTAGGTTCGAATCCCGCCGTGGCCAGGCATATTTTTCAAGCCTGCCCGGTGTGGATACACACTCAGAGTAACATCACACAAACATGATGAGAATTATTAAAATGACGAGAAATATAACTAGGTTCAAAATAACCAGTGATTTGCAAATAAAACATGAATTGGCAAGTAATAAAAAGCGACATATCCGCACGACAACACCTGGCCCAGCAAAGGTCAAAATATACCTATATTACTATATATATGGCTATATTCGAACCTTATGGCTCTAAATTATACAAATCTTGACAAATAAATCAAATTTTGTATCTCAACTACCAATTTTGAGGTTAATACGATAACTATACATTACGTGATATAGAACTGATATTGAACAAAAACATGAAAATCATGACACTACTGTCACTAGCTGTAGTGACTGCATAGTTAATATTAAAACAGTATGAACAAAGCAAACTATTAAAAGTTTAAGTTAAATATTGCACTCCAAAGAGTATTGGCAATGTACGAACCCGTATTTTGCTGTAAACAATGTCATTTCAATAATAATATAAATAATACAGAACACTTGCAGAACACTGACCCGCCATTTTGAATGCGAATTCTACCAGGCGCTTCCCGCCGAATTTTCCATTTTTCTCCCTCGCGTGCCGTCCCACGTGCGCTTAATGACGTAAACAAACCAAAGCGCCTGGGTACGAGGCTGCACGTTTTCTATGACAAGTTTTATGTGACAAAAGTTGTCTCACATATGGAAGAAGATTGATTTGTCATACCTTCAAAGAGAAATGGCAACAAAAGGAATCATTAATTGTCACGGGAGGGGCGGGGGGGGAGAGTAGACGAAAAAAAATTTCCTAGTCTGTTAAAAATTACTCGTTATTATTACAAAAAAATGTCCCCTCCATTGTTGGTCTTCCTCCATCTAAAACTGAAGAGCAAGGTACAAATTATTATATCCAAACAAACGTTCAACAAGACATCTTTATTGTTTTGTTTTTTATTTGTCTACAAAATAAAGTGCGAAAACTTACATAATTCTCATTCACGTTTCCTTCAAAAAAGTATGGTCCGACAATTTGACAACCTCCGAAGAGACCTGCCCAAACGGTGACCTTTTCCGAATTGCAATTCCGTTTGAAATTAAAGTTCGCAGGCGGTTGATTTTTAGGCGCGTATGATCGGACATTCCAAGTATTGACTTTCCCATCCATCTTAAAAGCAGGTTCATCGCCAATAAGGAGATCACGATCACGAAATCTTGCCGTGCGTGCTCTAAACCAATTGCAGAAGTCAACACGTCGCTGCTAATCACGAGGAATTAACTGGCTTGAATGTTCATTCGAAACGGATAAAAATTTAAATCATGTTTACTGAATCGATTGAAACTTAACTTTGTCATTTGGAGAATATTGTTTCACCGAGCACCCGCTTCTGGGTTATCACTAAGTTTGCGCTGAACTGCATCAATATTCGTTTGTGTTCGGGCTGATTTGGGTCTTCCCGAATTACCTTTGTTGCGGTTGTGGCTTGTCCCGTGGTTTTGGTATTTTAGAAATTTCTCAAGATTGTTCTTCTGGTAGGAGGAATCGTCTTACAAAGGCTTCTATTGTTCGCGCTGGACTTCCTGTTTCGTGGTATAATAGCACCATAAGCGTTCTTTCCTCGGGTGTAAATTGTTGTCCAAGCATGGTTGCAGAATGAAGGATAAAACGAAGTTTAACAACCTTGATGCATACCCACATTCTCGTGCACGTTGTTTTCCTTATAAAATCCATAGGGACAATGCTTCACTACACTCAAGCGTTGTGAGTAAAAAAGAATACTTAGGCCAAAAATTTTGGAGTAAAAACTATTGAGCCGTGAAAATATCTTTACTGTTTGCTAATTCTGTTGTAAGTGCAAATGTCCAATTTTGAACAAGTATGAAATCAGACTAACAATCTTGGACAAACCGATAGAGCCGAACTAGTCGCAACTGAACTATTAATACTATACTTGTTTTTTAAAACACTTTGGTCGTCCTTACGGAAAGCTTCTGCCGACAGTTTGACAGGGGACATTTTTTTAGACACGCTGTATTGCATATGTCGTCTTTTTAAAGTTATTTCTCACATGAAGTGAAAAAAAACATTATTTTAGACGAAAATTGGAAGAAATCAAACTTAGGAAGAACTGTATTCAAAATTATATATTACTTGGAGACCTGACCACTGTGACCAGTATTAACTTAACAGATCTACATAATTCGTGCAGTACAGGGTTTTAGTACAGACCGTAATGCTGTTTTATGTATAGTTAGGAGTTACAGCATTAGGCTGTAGAAAGTTCTGCAAAATTTCTTGAGGTGCTGAGCCCCTCAGCAAGATTTCTCAAGGGGCTCGAGCCTTTCATCCTCCCCCCCCCCCAATACTCTACACCTATGGTGACAAGTTTTATTTGCCAAGTGCACATGTGATGTATATATATGCAACAAATTTTATATGACAAGTGTTCATATGACAAATCAACCTCGTCCCCAGGGCCTATTGAGGAAGGAGGCGAAGCAGCAAAGGCCCTGGTAAAGGCTGGTCACGTGATGCTTCAAATTTTGAATATTTCA